TCTGGGGAGGGGGCAGGGGGGAGGGGAGAAGGCCCACCTCACACTTCATCAGATGGATGGGCTGTGAGGTGGAAGAAGAAGGAGAAGAAGAAAAAGTGATAGAAGAGGGGTGAGGGGGAGAAGAGGGGGCGGAGGAAGAGTCCTCCCCGTCCTCCCCTAGAACCCCATAGCGGTTAGAGAGTGGCACCTCAAAGGGGGTTGCCACAGGGATAGTAGCGGGCTTTTTGTTCTTAGGCACAGAGACTTGCCTGTTGACCGCGGGCTTTGGGAGGTCGGCAGTAGAATTACTTGCCGACCTCGTGACCACCTGGGCTGCCTTTGAATACGACCGGCCAATGACTGGGGTTGTGATTGGCGGGCAGACAACTTTAAGGGCCTCCTGGAAGGAGCAGCCATTTCACACCTTGTATTCTTGGATGGCGCGTTCTTGGAGCCAAGTCGGGCACTCCTTGCTGAAAGCTGTGTGCTGGCCGTGGCAATTGGGGCAACAAGGACTAGCCTTGCATTCCTACTCAGGATGCCCGGTCTTGCCACAACGAGGACACACGGCTGCGTGACGGCACCGTGACTGGCTATGGCCGAACTTCTGACACTTGAAACAGCGCAGAGGGTTCGGCACATAGGGTCGTACGTCGAGTACCAAGTAAGATGCCCGAACGGTGGCTGGAGGGCGACACGATTCGAATGTGAGGACAATCGTGTTCTTCTCAATAGTAGTCTCCCCCCGCCGAAGAGTAATCCGGCGGGCTTCGACCAAGGAGCAGCCTTTCGGCTCATGGCTGCGGACCACGCCCTTCGAGCGGTTAAATTTCTGGTAGTGCTCGGACTTACATGGAATACCGCCGAAGGTCGTGGTATCCAGGAGTTTGGTCACTTCGTTCTCGGTTGCGCACTTGACAAGGAGTGCACCACAGGAAAGTTTCTGTACACATGTTGGAATGTATCCCAGAACTTTCCGTAGTGCATCTCCTGTCTTAAAGAGGTTGAGATCGGTAATTCTTCTCTGTGCGTCTTTTGTACTGGAGATGGCCGCGTACGGTTGTCTCAGAAGCTCCTTGGGAGGAGGGAGGAAGGAGGCATCGGTAAAGGTCCTTTTACCTTTTTTTGAACTTTTGCTCGGCTCGGCGGCCGCACCCGCTTCCGCGAGCCGAGACTTCTTTACGTTGGGAGCTGGGGAAGGGTCTTTGGGGTTTTTAGAATCCATGAGAGTTTTCTATTTGATTCGACTCCGGGGCTCCCCGCCCGCCACGGAGCCCAACAAGGGGACACTTTGCTAGGATGACCAGAGCTGTGCCAGGACTACCCCGGAGCTATACTCTCAACGAAAAAGTACAAGACCCTCCCGTTAAGATTGACCCAGGGCTTGATGGGGTTTCAGCTCTCAACCGATTGAGTGGCATGGGCCGTGCCACCCTCCCGTCTAAGAGGAAAACCTGGGCCAAAGAGATGTGTTGGCGAGGGACAGTCCGTGGACTGATCTCACCTCAACCGCCAGGTACCCGGTTTCCCTCTGCACGGGTCGCACCTCACGGTCAACGAGGTGCCCACTCTGTGGGATGGGTGACCTCTCTTTTTGCTGCACATGAGGTCAGCGGTGGTAGGAAAGATAGAACAAGAAAGAAAGAAGGAAGGAGAAGAGGAAGATACACCAAAGTAGATGTCGCATCCAGATCTCAGAGGGTTGGGGTCCGTGTGCGACACCTCGCCTTTGAAGGAGTTGCACCTTCTGCAGACGAAGCAGTGGGTCTATTTATATCCCTTCGACCCACTGGGGGTGACAAACAAACAGATCAACAAACAACCTAATGAACAAATAAACATATCAACAGACAAACGAACAAATAAGCAAACAAAATACATGTATTAAAGTCTACAATCAATCTTTCAAAAAGTTTCGTATAAATTCAAGAAGATTTCCGCGTAAGCCCAAGTCATGCAGGTTTTTCAAATTACCATGTTTCCTTGTGGTGTCAAAAGGTTTTTCTAAGTCGGACAAAAAAAGATTAAGGTGCTCTTTCCGAATGAAAGCTACCCGAAAGAAAGTTTTCAAGTCGGAAGAGATGGTCAATAGTAGAGCGATTTTAGCGAAAACCGCATTGGAAATTGGATAAAGAGTTTGAGGTTTCAAGAAACCACATCTGACATTTGTTGATACATGTAAGTTTTTCCATAAGTTTGCAGAAACAGTTTGTAAGGGCTATGGGACAGTAGTTTGGTGGGTTAGAGTAATTTTTCCTGGTTTTGGGATTGGTACAACAGTGGCAAGACGCCAACTGTTCGGAAATTATTGAGAATGCTAGCCTAGAGTTCGTTGTAAATGTCAAGGAGTAATAGGAGTGTTTCGTCTGGAGATGTTTGATTATTTCGTTTTGTATTAGATCAGGGCCTGGAGCTGTTTGATAGTCCTGCAATGTTACATTTTAGTTAATCAAAAGAAAAGCTGCAATTATAGTTTTCTTGATTTAAAGAGGTAAAGTCAACAGTTGTCTTTTTAGAAGACATTTTCACTTTTTTAAATTCCGGGTTGTAATTTTGGGAAGCAGAATTTCCGGAAAGGGTTGATGCTTAACAGTCAGCCACTGTTTTTTCTGTCTCTTCAAATGACTTATTTTGGTTTGAAGATGTGTTTAACTGTGTCTCTTTTGGTACCTTTTGATTTCTTTATCGTCTTCGAAACTTTGTGCTTTGGTGTGTAGTTGTTTATTTTAGAGACAAAATAGCGAAAAAATGCTTTTTGGCCTTTCTGATTATTCTGCGCGCTTGGGCTCGTGCAATTTTGAAATTTGTGAGGTCTTCGTTGGTTTTAGGGTTGATGAACTTCATGAGGGCTGATTTTTGGCCGCAACAGCTTTTTGGCAGTCTTTTGTGAACCATCATTTATTTTTTGGGGTTTGGTGGATTATTTTGGTACATGTATTATATTGGACCACAACAGCAGCCAGACACTCCGTGCTGGGTCCTGCAGTTTTGACATTATTAAAATCCACTGATATCTTTTAAAACTCCTGCGGGGAACAAAACATTTCCCAAATTTGAATATTTTTTCACATAAAGGGGCAGTTCCAGAAGAAGATGAGTAGACGGAGTGAGAGAAACATTAGACAACAACATAAATAAATAAACCAAGAAACAGCGAATAAACAAACAAGAGAAAGACCCTTGTTTCTCCCCTCGTCACTGTAACATACAGACTTCAACATAAGTTAAGGACCGCCTTAACAGCTATACAGCTCTGATTTTTTAAAATTCGAAAAAAAAGGACAGCAAGGAATGTTTCAGAGATGTTTGCTTTGAATGTGTTAATGGGTTACCAATGCGTTCAAGCTTCCTAAAGGGGCAAACAGTGGCGGGGCGCCATTGGTGCAATTGGTGCAAGCGCTCCACCTAACCCTGGCCTTCAACCCCCCCCCCCCCTATTTTTCTAAGATTGGCCGCTCCCCTTGCGATCCGTCACCCGCTTGCAGCCAGTGAAGAGACAGACGGCGAGGATGGTTTATGCTCGTGGCACCGCTTGCGGTAGTGTCTGCTGGGAGCAAGCAAAATCTTTGCACCAAAGTTATTTTTGTCACTGTAGAGAAATTTAGGCATCGTTCTTTCCGCCCAAGAAGAAATGTGCATGAAAATTCTCTTCGCAGCATCAATTTGGTGCAAGTTTAAAATTTGATCCAAGTTTCCGTGAGCCTATCTACCACACTAGTAGAGTCTACGATAACTCAATGAAGAATGGGTATTCAAACTGTTGTCTCCCTCTATTGTGTAGCAAGTCCTGGTGCTGCACGAAGTACCTGTAATTAGAAATCTGTAATTTTCTCAGATTGTGAGCATAGTGAGTTGTTAGTATTGTTTCACTTTATTGCAGCTTTTATGTGGTTTCATCTAGAAACGGTTGTAAATATCGATAGATGTAGTTTACGGGATATCTTGCAGATTCTAATTGACTTTCTCAAGAAATCCTAATTGCAGCTACTAAGCCTATTGCCCATTTGCTCACTTTCCAATTATGCACCACCTTGTCTGCAAACCACGCGACGCCACTGGGGACAAAAAACACCACGTGCTACACGGAAATCCTCGGGGAATTTTAACACAATTTAACGCTGTTTGTTATCGATTTGTGAGCGACACTATGAACATTCCTCAGTTACAATTTCTGATGAATGTAATAAACGGACGTTTGGTCTCGATCTGTGCTCACCTTGATGGCAATGTAAGCCGCCAGCTTTGCGCACAATCCAGCATCGCATCAACATGCCACCAAGACGAAAGCTGAGGGACTTTGATCGTGCCAGAGCTATGGCATGGCTGCAGGATGGAGTTGGAGCCCGAGAGGTTGCCAGAAGGCTTGCAGTGTCACACTCTGCCATTACCCGTTTGAGGCAGCGCCTGGATCAGTCCAAGAACGCCCACGTGCAGGTCGACCCAATAAGACCGCTCAGGGTGTTTGTAAGTGGTCCTTAACTTATGTTGAAGTCTGTAGCAAAGGCCGGATTTTTAAAAAGAAGTGGATCTAGTAAGTCTTTTGTCCAATTATGTCTCCCCGGGTCAATATATCAGTCGTAAGACGCAGTGTGCTATTATCAGTTACGAGGCTTGAAAGACTATAAGTGACTTTCCATGAATTTTTTGTTTTTTTGAATCAATTGAAAGTTTGATGTCTTCTGCTTCATTTAAGATAAAAATAAAAGACTATAATCGACTATAAATTTCAAATCTCTATCTCAATTCTAAGACCCCCATTGCTATGGAAACATGTTGCTCAACTTCGGAGGACATTTTCTCCTTTTCGTGTTTCCTCCCCTGGCACAATTAAAAGTTCTGTATTTTCGTCAAATAAGGTCATATTTACTTCATCCTTGTTTTAAATTGTAGAGAAAAGGTAATAGTTTTTAAAAATAATGTTAACTCAGTTTTGAAATTTCCTTCATATGACCAGAGACACTAAAATATATTTTAGTGTCTCTGATATGACTGATATTAACCGGCAGGAACACAATTGTTCTTCTTCGTCATATTTCTTTGTGTCCTTTTTTTAGATCATAAAACAGAAGAGTTCCCGAATTGCTACGGTGGCGCTTTAGAAGGATGTCGTGTGGTGACACTCAGAATGATATATAATAAGATAATGTGTCATGTGTACATGGCATACATTATGAAAGTATAATACATGTATTACATGTACATGATGTATAATTTTACTGAACTCAAAAAGTTCCCAGACACCAAGCTCATTGTACGGCGTGATAGTCACTTTATTAATTTAAAAACTTCCCCTCGGAAATAAACAGCGAACCGAAGGAAACATAATAAACACACTCCACAAGAGAGCTCCCACTCGGATTTTCTAGATCTGTGGCTGAATAGGATCGCCAATGCAAACACAATTGACAAGCGAAAAGCGAGAGCCCTGATGATTCATGATACATATGGGCCTCAAGCCAATCAGATGGGTACCTTGGCCTTATCTCATATTTTTTCCTGAGTCTTAATCATTGCCATCAACTGGAGAACGACCAGACCGAAAAGTCACCTCGCTTAATTTAAGTTAAAATACTTAAATCAAGTATCAAGTTGAGGCTGCCGCTATGTTGTCAGTGTCAGGGAGTGGGAGCTGGTCTGCTGTACGAGGCGAGGTGGAGATGAGCCAGGCTTTCCACGAAAAGAGCAAACAAGAACTGCTACGACTGAGAGATGGTGTTGCATCCAGCATGAAGGAGGATCTCAGACTGTGAGTGTGTATGAATGCAGACCCGGTAACCGGGAACAAAATCACGAAGTACAGACCTGGTAGAGGAAATCTTGGTCTTGGTGCTTCACCCCCCCTTATTTTGAGCCTAGATCTATATTCGATCTAGATTCTAGATCTAGATCTATAATGTTTGAGTGTGGCGAGCTAAGATATACTAACACTAACATAACAACTGCAAAACATCTAATTATATTATGGTTTAATTCAGGGGGGCATGCCTAGGCTAGGTCGTTCTTTTGCAACGCCGTGTTGCGTTTAGCGCCAGTGCTAAATAAAACGCTGCGTTGCGATTAGCGCATGTGCTGAATAAAACGTCGTGTATTATATCATGAAGTTTAATCTACCTCTCGTTGTTCGAACCCCGGTCCTGGAAGGTTTTTTTTTGGGCTGGCGCCATTTGCAACGCCGCGTTCTGAAAGCTCTTTTGTGCTAATTGAAATGCTGCGTTCTGAATAGCTACCATGTTATTTGAAATGCCAGTATTAGATCTCATCTCTTCTATTATATTCAAGTAGTTCTGCCTGAATTGTGGAAGAGTTCAGATTCCTCATAAACCTCCTAGGATTTGATTCCTTTTTTTATGACGTTGTCTATTCCGATCAATATTGGGTAGATGTAGATTAGATCTAACTACTGTTTCTGACATTGTTTGCACAAAAGTAGACTAGACGTGGTCTTGTTCATCTCTCATAATCATATTATCATTTGAGTTTGAGCAAGTAAGTCGAAAGACGCATGGATAACAATAAACAAGACGGTGCAACTCGGTTTAGCCAAGCCGTAATTCCTGTCCGCTGTGTCGTCATACAATAGGTCTACCTAAAAATATTCTCTTAAACTTTAAGTTAGCCTAAGCCTAGAGAACGTACAAACTGTCTACATTCTCTAAGTCTAATGTTCAGTGCTTCCAAGTGTAGCCTCGAATCCCAGTCCCGGAAGGTTTTTTAAAATTCTCCTGAGCCTAGAATAAAAATTTTTTACAAGTTTATTAGACTCACAGACTAAGGAAAGCCACTAGTGAACTTTAACCAGGCCTAAATTGGTAAAAGGAAAAGTATAGGCTATAATAGCCTACTAAGGCCTTCTTTGTCCAGAGCTCCTCTGGGGACCAAACCAGAATGTGCATTCTTCATCACTACATAAAAAAACAACTACTAAGCAACAAATTATAATTATGAGAAAAATTTGTTGGTCAGACGAGAAGGGGACAAAAAACCAAAATAAAACAACGAAAAACTTCCAAGACCGGGATCAAACCCACGCTCATAATAGTGGTTTGGCTTCAAACGCAGAAGCGCTGTCCCTTCGGCCATCAGAACTTCCAACAACGAAAGGTAGATTAAGCTTCATATAACACACGCCGTTTTACTTCGCACTGGCGCTAATCGCAACACGGCGTTTTATCTAGTCTTGGCGTCTCGCCACTGTAATTTCAATACCACAAACCTAACAAAGACCACACGCCCTCATCCAATTACAGACCAATAGCACTAACGAGCTGTTGGAGAAGTCATGGTTGTTAAAACGAACATGAAAAGAATTCGGTTTGTTTACACACTGACTTGGGTTCGTGTCTTGTGTGTAGGAATGTTTGTCCGTCTTGGTATGTCTCCAACTATAGTTTTTAAACATTGCCACGTCATTTTTGTGTTGGTAGAAGTGAAATGGTCTTCTAACTTTTCTTTGTAAACATGCTTTAACATTTGTTGTTTTTTATTTGTCTCGATCTTTCAGTTTGAATGCCTTCTTTTTCTCATTTAATATTTCTTTTAACTCCTTGCTAACCTAGTGCTAGTGGGTGGTTGGCAGGTGCTCGAGTGTGGTTTGCTTCTTCTTTCCTATCAAACATCTGTCGTCCTTATCTCCCCTTCTTCTTTTTTAAGTTTGTAACTCTCTTGTAACACCTCTAATCTTCTGGCACTCCTATGACCTTATGCAGTTGCGAGCACCGTAAATCTTCTACTTAAAACAATAACCCAGGGCTCGTTATTTGGGTAGTAAATAACTTCTTTTTTTTAGATTAATGTAGATCTTCACAAAACCTGATATAACCAGTGATAGTCTCACATAATTCATCTTTACTATTACTTGAATCTTTAAAAACATTCCAATTCGTACTTTCAAAGCAATCTCTCTGGCTTTCCCTGTTTTCTTCACTCCAGATGGTGACAATTTAGGTTTGTACTTCGGTAATAAAAGAGACATGCAATGATCAGAGTTTCCTATAAGAGGTAGAGATATACAGTTGTAAGCATTAGAAACATTTACATAACATAGTTTTGATAACATGTTACATCGAATATCACCAAATCGGATGGGAATTTTCTTTTTCTTTTTTTTGAAGACGTGATACTGTCGTAAAAAGTAGTAGAGATATCAACTTTAAACAAATGGGGTTGTTCAAATTTTATCACTAGTCGAGATTTCCTGTCACCTTAGTTATGCCCGTCAGAATCTCAAAGTGACCATCTAACATCTAAATTTCTTACAAAATACCGTATATATTTTTCTGCTGTATTTGCACATGGTTATGAAAATGACACCAATAACCTACATATTCATGGCATTAAAACAGAAATTAAGTAGTTTTTAATTTTTGACTTCTGTGACATGTTTAGGGGTACCAGGTTCTGGCACTGGCTCTACTACGCAGTATTAGAAATGAGAAGAATTGCCCACATAAGGACATTTCTTAACACTGATGCCACCAAAAAAGTAGTGTTTGCCTTCATTTTGTCACGCATTGATTATTGCAATTCACTGTTCGCTGGCATACCTGAAGAAAAATTTGCAAAACTCAAACGCATTCGAAACAGTGCTGCCGGGCTAGTATTAAAGCATCATGTGACTTCCCTCCTTAAAGAGCTCCTTTGGCTTCCACTGAAAGAGAGAATCGAATATAAGTTAACCCTACTATGCTTCCAAGGTCAAACTAACCTGTCTCCCACATACATTCAGGAACTCATTTTACCATACACACCATCACGTGAACCAAGATCCAGTGGCTCTAGACTTAATTTCAACACCTCATGTGTCACTGAAGAAATATGGTGAGAGAGCTTTTCATTTTTCTGGGCTAACAGTTTGGAACACTCTCCCTCATGATTGATTTGAGGACCGAAATAAAACTTGATACTTTCAAAAGGTGACTGAAAACACATCTATTTAAGAAACATGAATTTTAATTAATGGACTGTAGCTTGCCTTTTTGTATGAGCATTTTTTATTGTCTGAAAGAATGTTGCTGTCAAAATGTGCACATGATGAATTTGTATGGTTTTAGTATGAATGCGGTTTTAATCTCCTATGTACGCCTTGGGCCCATGTTGTGGGAAAGGTGGGATACAAATGCTCTTATTATTATTATAATTATTATTATTATTACTATTATTATTATTATTACTATTATTATTATTATTATTATTATTATTATTACCAATCTGAGAATGGTTTCACCGTAGGATTCCTGCATCTTAGTATTTCTTTCTTTATAATATTTGAAGACTGATATTTTTAAAAAATGAAGTTGAACCCATGAATTATAGAATTTAATGTGTTTCTCTTGTTCATTTTCAGGTTAGCAGATGATGACACACATAAAGATCTGACCATCACCAATGGGACAGACAGTGTCAGGGCTCATCGCTGTATCTTACAGGCGAGGTAAGAATCTAAAGAAGGGAAATTCCCAGATAGACCTGTATATATGTGAGCAAAGAATTGAAAGATCATTGTTTTCTGTTGATATTTTTATTCTGTAATATGAAAGAAAAATTAGTTGAGTGCTCTGCTATTATCTGTTATATGGCTTGGATTACTTATCTTACATATCTGTGAAGTTATTTGAGAAAAAATGTTCCTTTCCTTGTTTTTCTCCTTGTTAAAAGTACACATTAAAAGTTAGTTGTTGGTTTTTGTAAAATTTGAGACACCAGATCTTTTCCCAGCACGTGGGTGGTTGGCGGGTGCTCTGGTGTGGTTTTCTTCTTCTTCTTTCCTATGAAACATTTATCGTCCTTATCGCTCCTTCTTCTTTTTTGGGTTTGTTACTCTCTTGTAACACCTCTACTAATCTTCTGACGCTCATACGACCTTATGCAGTTGCGAGCGCCGTAAAACCTCTACTACAACAAAACTTTTCCTAGCACCCTGAGTTTGTTATTCTTTTTTGAAAGGGGGGAACTACAAGTTGTTTATTTGGCTGTCAATGTCTTTCTTTTTCTTTTTCAAAAGGGGGGAACTACAAGTTGTTTATTTGGCTGTCAATGTCTTTCTTTTGCTGTAGGTGTCGGCACTTGTGGCAAGACAGCTGGCTTGTGCTAACAGAAAAGGATAATGATGATGACGACAGAAAGGAAGTGTGCTTGAAGATGCATGGACTGAGCAGAGCTCAACTAGAGAATTTTGTGAGGTAACATAAGTTTGGTTGGGGGTGTTTTTTTTTGGTGAGTTTGTGTGTGTTTTTGTGCTGGGGTGGGTGGAGGGGCTGAATGTTTGTGCCTGCATAGGCAGGTATGTGTTTTTGTGTGTGTGTATGTGTGTGCATAGGCAAGTGTGTGTGTGTGTGTAGTGTCATTGCTATTAACGATTTGTCTCTCCATTTTCTGTCCTATGAATATTGATGGTTGGGTATTTATCTGGGATTTATCTTCAGCCTTCAACATTTATCTCTTACAATTGATGCTAGCAAGATGAGATGCCATTGTACTGCAATGCAAACTGTTCATGTATATTCAGAGCTTCCTCTTGTGATTTTGATATTGTGGGTAACTTTGTTTAGGAGTGTACAACTGGCGTCTGTGGTATAGAGGTTAGGCGTGTTGCTGTCACTTGCTGAAGACCCAAGTTCAATTTTCGTGAGGGTGTGATTTTTATTGAGTATCTTGGTCTTTCTGCTGGAATATTGTATCCCTTTCAGCCTGTGTTGGTTTCCAACCTCCAAAATGGTTGACATTTTGTGAATGGGGGTTTGAAAAACACACTTACAATTTAAAAAGATTAAAAGGCATTGTATAGTATTCAAGGTCTTCAAGAATTTGGCAGTTGTACGAAATGTGTATGACTTATCTTCACCCATTAATTATATGAAGTAAATGTGATTTGTACTTGAATCCTTTTCAGACAAATGTATACTGTCAGTGACTCGGCTCTTTTCATGGACGAATTTCTACCTGCCATTTCTGGAGAATCGAGTGCCACAGGCTGTGCCGATGATGGCCTGTCGTTCAGAAACGGGCAAGCTGGTACTTGTGGAGAGTGGACGGGCGGGGAGTCGGGAGAACCTACCATGAATTGTGTGGATGGTGGTGGTGGTGGTCAGAGCAGACAGAAAAATTCTGATGAGATGTATTTAGAGGAATGCTGTGTAGTGGCGAGTGTGGACAATGCTGCTGCTGCTGTCACTGACGCTGTACCTGCTGATGTTGTTGATGCCGGTCCTGCTGCTGTCGCTGATGATATTCCCATTGTCGCTGATGCTGCACCCACTAGTGTGAACGAAGATGCTGTTGTAAATGAAAGTGATACAGCAGCAAGTACAAATCTGAAATATGGGAGTGAATCATCTCATGATTCTTCTCCGGTGGACGAGAAAGAAGATTCGGGGAACAACCCAAAGGATGACCAAAGCACATGTGCTGAAGGGAGTGCGAGAGGGGAAGATTGTTTAGGAAGACCTCATGCAAAGGTTAACAAATCAGATGCAGTCATACCTGAAGATCAGTTTGAACATGAAGACAAATCAGTCAATGCGAATGCTGGTACATGTAGTACTGAGAATGTGTTAGAACTGGTAGAAGACAAAGTTGTTTTATGGGATGACTGCACTGAGAATAAAGTGGATGTGGATGGAGATGGGATGTTTTGCGATGGTGGGACTCAAACTGCTGAGGCTTCCCCGCTCTCTGTGGAGAAGGCGTCTACAAGTCCTGTACTGGGCGGATCGTTAGACAGTGCCGTCAAATCTTCCTATTCTTTTTCCATTCCGTATGAGACGTGCAGCCCTCTGGGCCGTGATCTGCTTCAGATGCACCTCCAAGAGACGAACTGCGACTGCTGCCTCTCAGTGGACGGGGTTCAGTTCTTGGCCCATAAGGCCGTGCTGACGGGCCGGAGCGAATACTTTGCAGCCATGCTGGGTGGACGGTGGTCTGAGAGCAACATGGAGATGATCCAGCTGGAGGGCGTGGCGCCGCAGGCTCTCGAGCAAGTGTTGCTCTTCCTGTACGGTGGCGTGGTTGACCTCACGACCCCTTGTGACCTTATGGATCTTTTCCTTTTGGCCGACATGTACGGGGTTCTGGCTTTCAAGTCTGTCTTGGCGTTCTACGTGAAAAAGGATTTGTGCCATTTTTTCCACAAGCCGTGCCAGGGCTGTGTGAGCAGTGCCCCGGAGGCCGTCTCTCTCTGCCATAACTTCAACCTGGATGAGCTTCTGGCCCGCTGCCTTAGGTGGGTGTCCAAATACTTCACCCGGATCTGGCCCACCAAGACATTCGCTGCATTGCCTGAGCACTTACAGCAGCTCTGCGTGGAGAATATGGTCTCTCTGATGACCAAGCAAAATGTGCTGGACATTATTATGGACTGTGACAAACTGACCACGAGTCTGCCCAGAATCAGGTGGACTGAGAGCATTCTTTGTTTGCTTACCCAGCTGATGGACCTGGCTATTGAGTTCACATCCTCTAATTTCATCGATGTGATCGGAACTTACGAATTTCTTCAGTGGGCAAAAGTTGCTTCATGGAAAGCTGGTGCTCTTGAAGAGATTTTTAATTCTGTGATAGATTCTCTGGCTGTAGACACCGCTTGCCTTGTGTATCAGACGCTGGTAGCGTTGAAGTCGCAGCAGTTAGGCCTGGAGAGTCCGGATGCCGATGTGATTGGGTTACTTGACTCTATGCTGAAACGCTGTGAGAAATTTCTCCGAACACACATCCATCAGGCTACTCGCTGTAAGCAGTGGCCTCAGCTGATGAAGGAAACCCAGACGAAAATTCTTGAGAATTCCTCGTATGTTTACTTCGCTGATTTCCCCGATCCAAAACCAAAGCCGAAGCTGGTTCCAAAAGTTAGATCGAGACCCCCGGGTCCTTCCACTCTCAGGGGAGAGAACCGAAGACCAGAAGTAGAGGTGGGGAGACAGGGGCACAACAGAGGCCAGCAGAGACCCACATCATCAGGAACGGGTCGTGGTTCGGCTGCTGTCGGCAGATCCCAAAATGTCGGAGCTGCTGCGAACGGGAGTCAGAGAGAGAGAGGAGGAGCGGTGACGACTAGAAGAGGTGTAGGGCGGGCTGGGCAGAGAGGTAACGTGAGGCCCGCGCCGAGAAGGTGTACACCCCAAAAGGTTGATGACCAGAACCACGACCCTGGTTCCCCCGCGGCTGAAGGTCAAGGCATCTCCTGGTCGTTGAGTAGAAGTCCTTCAAAGGCACAGGCTGCTGGCGGGTCAGCTCGTATCGTAAAACGTTGTTCTGCGAGGTATATTTCCGAAAACGAAGATACTGACAACCATGTGAGTGAGGTAATGGGTACACCTGGTACCTCTAGTCAGGATGACCCCTCGTTGTCCTGTCCAAGTCTTTCCCTGGCCACAGATGAAAAACTGTCGGATCTGAACGTTGTTGACTCAGGTCTTGTTAGATCTGTCTCTCCACGGTGCCATGGTACCAACCAGGCATCTGAGGTGGAAGGGTCGTCTAGTTCTGTAGATCAGGAAATACCCATGTTGTTAAGTCCTAGTCCTTCAGACACACAAGCTGCCACTGAATTTATTTCTGATGCAAAGCCTGATTCAGGGGGAGCCATGTGTTTACAATCTTATGTCTCTGACCAGACTTTAGAGTCTACGCGGCCATCTAATGATGAAAATGGCGAGATACTTCAGTCGTTAAGTGGAGGTCCTTTACAAATGCATGCTGAGACGGAGTCGGCTGGTTCTATGAAGACCACTTCTCCAAGGGATGACGGCATCAGCCAAGCTTGTGAGGTCAGGGGGTCACCTGACTGCCTCAGGCGCATATCTTCTCGTTCACTAAGTACAAATCCTTCTCGGCTGCCACAAGCTGCAAGCCAGTATGACCACCAAGGCAGAGGCAGTGTAGAGAAATCCCCGAGACTTCTGCGTGCGGAACAGGCCAAGTTGTGGCGCTCACAACTTCCTGTACGGGACAGAAAGAGCTCTTCTCCTCGTCCGGGTAGGAAAGACAGCGAGTCTAGTTGCAAAGCGGATGCTATCACTAGTACAGACAGTCAGGAAAACATCACTCAGATCTCGAGGGATGGCTCCGTGTTTCCTGACTGTAATGCTAATAATGTGTCGGAAAAGAATACTGCGGCTCTTCAAGAAAGTATTGACGATCTGGAAAACAGTAACTTGCTTTATTCGAGCAGCTGTCCCAACAAAGGCTCAGGGCTAGACGGGTGGCTTGGAGCTCCAAGCTCCGCATCGGAAGTTTCACTGCAGAATGTTGGTGGCGAGAACTCAGAATTGGTCAGGGAAACTTCGGCTTTTGATTACCAGCGGGATGAATTGGCAGATGTAATTGCTGCGTCTGCCCCATCTGCTGTTGAGCGATCCTTTGCGTCCTCTGAGGGCATGGCTGCTCACTCAGGGTCTCATGTGAAGGTCGTGAAAATGAACAAACCTCTGACTGTAGGATTCACTGTTCCCAAAGACTAGCTAAAGAAGTGTTTTTTCTTCTATTCCTTTTCAATTTTACTGCTGTTCTCAAGGGTATGCTGATAATGTGAATGGAATTCAGTGTTTAGTTGGCTTATCGGTAATGGTGGCTGTGTAGTGTTGAAGGTCGAGGTCTTCCATGTCTTTGCATTTACTCTTCACGCATTCTCACCTTGTTCACTCGGACAGAGAATGTCAAAGAACTGCACCCTTTTCTTTATCGTGAGGGACCATCTTATGCTGAGCCGGCACATTTTATCTCACTATTTTTTATATTAACAGAGGATTAACATAATATGAAAGAAGCAAGGAGAACAAATGTTGCATTGTCTTGAAATAATGAACCAAAGTAAAAAAAATCCTTTTGGATTTAGGGGTAGGGGAGTGGGAGGGAGGGCTTCTCAATGTAGCAAGCTTGATTTTGAGCAAAAAAAATGGATGTAATACAAATTCCAGATTTTGGTCCTATTGAGCCATTGCTTTCCAATCCCAGTTTTTAAAAATGTGAGCATCTGCTTTTCAATTTGGGCTCAAAGCTGAAAGGATAAATGCAAGTCAAATGTGTGTTGGTGACACAGGGTTAGGGGGGGTTGGGGAGTGGAGGGGCCCTGGGGATGTGTCCTTGAAGACCATAGCGCTGCATTGTGGCTGCCACTCGTGATGAGTGGATTATTTATCTATGTCATGTTTGTGATATTGTGTATTATTCTTGCATTTATTAATTAATTTATTTGTGTATTTATGCCACTGTTAAACAAATTTCTCAAGGGGCTCAATGAAAGTGTGTTTTGTAATATTTTATTTTTCTCTTTTTACTTAGTAAATATATTCCAAAGACATACTGACGGCAAATCTGTTGTCAATTAGTTACGATTGTATTGGTGGTCGAAAGCAATAAACAATTGTCTAAGCCTCTAGGTCGAGGTCGTCGTGCTTAAGGCATGTGGGCAGCTTGTTTCATACAAAAAGACTGAATCGACCACCTTCTTCCTTCATATCATGACAAGAAAGCTTAATTATGTTATGTTGTTAATAACCAATGAGATTCAATACCTCAGATTATCTTCCCACATCAGGTTGAACGATATTGACATAAGCAAGCAATACTTTCCTTTTTTGGTTCCATTTTCTTGGGCCTTGCTCTGCCTTTTGATTGTGACGTAGATCCAGGGTTTCAGCGTCATCTCATCGTCAGTTTGTTTCACTTCAACATTACTACCCCATCCTGACAGCTTTCACTGATGAATTTTGTACTCAGTCTCTACACTGACGGTTACTGTCAGAAACGGTAGTTATAAGTCTGAACAAAAATGTCAAGTTGTTTGGGTTTTTTTCTCAAAAGATTGCTTTGAAACCTTCTAGCACTATGTCTTTATCTAGTGCATGTTTACATAGAAAGATGCAAAATATGGCCTTGGCACAAAAATGTACGAGTGGGTGGTTGGCAGGTGCTCTAGTGTGGTTTGCTCCTTCTTTCCTATCAAACTCTATCCTGATCTGTCCTCTTTCTTTTTTGTGTTTGTTACTCGCTTGTAACACCTTTAATCTTCGGCACTTATATGTCCTTATTGTGTTGCAAGTGCCGTAAAATTCTTACTAAAAAAAATGTACGTTTTCTTGCTCACTTGACATTTGCAGACTGGTTCCCTTGAAGGTAGTGGATGGACGCACACAGTTTGCGGCTGCTACTGTTATATCTCTCTAGTGCTTGCAGGGTGACTTCAGTGCTTTCTTGTCGTACCTCCTTTTTTTTAACAGTGAAAATATGACATCTTCTTAAGGTCACTCTTTGTTATGAACTGAACTGTTTTCACTGTTATTAGAAATGGAGATACGACAAGAAAGCACTAGGGTTACGAGATAGTGAATGCCTCAGCTTTAGTGTCTATTTTTAAGTAATGAATATGATTTACTGATTTCTCATCACAAAGACAGGGAAAAGGGGAGAAGATTTTTAGTATTATGCAGTTACAGAATTCAGTGAGAAAGAGAGATGGAGTTAAAGGAAAATGTTTGAGAAGCTTGCTTTTACTGGAGTACAGTAAAGAAACTAACAAATTTTGACACACCTTCCCCCCCCCCCCCTTTCCGAAACAAAGAAACCAAAAAAAAACACCAAACCCAACATGTTTTTTTCTTCTTTTCAGAAATTTGTGTAACTGTCATTCGCTAAAAGTACAATGCCCTCTGCCCGCTGTGAATAATACATTTCTGTAGAAAGTGTTGTACATGAAGTTTTATGTGTGTATGTAGCCTACCTTTTTCTATTTCTTCCTTTTTCTCCTCCTCTGTACAGTGGAGTCCACTTATAATGATTCCTGAAATAACGAGAAGTCTGTTGTAAAGACACAATTCTAAAACAGAGTGTTATTTTCTCTTCTTTAGCTTTGTAAATAAAATAATGCAACAGCGCAATCAGACAATCACACGAGTCCGTTATAGCGGAATACTGCTGATGCTGTCCACAGTGCATAGGCAAATTACATGTAAAACCTCGCCAGTTGAGAAACTTTTCGGTGATCTAGTGAAACAAAGAATTGGGGAGCCCACATTCACATGTGCCAACAATGAAGGCCGGAGCGAATGAGTGGGGAGGGTGTAGCATGCGCAGACAAGCAGAACGCATCGCGAGATAGGCCAGCCTATCTCTTTCTTCACTTTCTGTGTTGTTTGTAGCTGTGTATCCATCATACTTTTTCCCTGCACTAAATGACCATTATTGTGTCGATTTGCTTCTTTTTACTTAAACAAACGAACAAACAAGTGCATGTTCCAACTTTTTCCACAATGTGTATACCCAGCTGGGGTCAGCTTGACCAGAGTGTTTTGATCTCACAGAGTCCAGTTCCAAGTCCATACATCTATACTGCACGGGTAGTTGGCGGGTGCTCTGGTGTGGTTTGCTCAATCTTTCCTACCAAACATGTATCATCCACATCTTTCCTTCTTTTTTGTGTTTGTTACTCTTAATTGTAACACCTCTAAACTTGGGCACTTACATGACCTTACTGTGTTGCCAGTGTCTTAAATCATCATCAAATGCCTTTCACCCCTGGCAGGATATAGGCCACATGCATGCTCCTTCCATTTATCTCTGTCCAGGGCTATCCTTCCTTCCTAGCTCGTTCCAAGAGAGCTTTATCTCTCTCATGTCTCTTTCCACACATTTCCTCCATGTTTACTGTGGCCTACCTCTGCCTCGTGTTCTCTGTGGGTTTCACTGTAGGGACTGTCTTGTGATGTTGCCGCTGGGTTTTCTGAAGATCGCCACTTTCTTAGTCTTATTTCTACTTCTATATCTTTTTGCCCTGTCCTTAATTAAGATACTCCTAATACATCTCTTTATGAAAGTCTGGACTTTATTCAGCACTGTCTTTGTTATCTAAGTGTCATAAAACTTTTACTAAAACAAAGAAGGTCAGCATGACCATGGTTCTGATCTCATAGATGACAGTTCTAAGTCCATATTTATATATAGTATCACGTTGTACTACGCTTCATGAGGTTTGGTGGGTTTTTTTGTTTTGTTTTGGGGGGGGGGGGTTAGCTGCTTGTTAGAATGCTCATTTTATTTTTCATTTGCTCCAATGTTAAATTGCTAAAAAAAAAGGTATTTTAATTATTTATTTATTTTACTATTTGCTGGTCAATTTTTCTTTGTCGACATTTTTGTCACAAACTCAGATATAATTGATGTATGTTTTCCACAAGTTGACATTTTTGTGTCATGGTCAATGTGGCTGTGATTTGTCAGTGTCATTTTGTGAATTGTGAACACAAGTTTATATTTCTTTTTTACATGATCATGATGTATCTAGCTTACACGTTTGGCCTTTTTAACCTTGGCTTTATTCAAAGGGATCATAATACCTTGTGGTTGTGGCCTTTTGTTTTACATTAGAAACTCGGTTGAATTTGATTTGCTTTTTCTTTTTTCCAATGAAGGTGTTTTTGCGCCTCCATGGACACAATTTAGGTTATTGAGGAGGAGGGCTCGTTGCTTTTTATGCCGAAAAGTACTGTTTGGGTGCGTTCGGACTCAGAGTGCTAGATGGTTTATTGGTGACAGTCTTCTCAGAAGTTAGAAGCTTGGTAACTTTTTCTGATAAGACTAAGACCGAACATTTAGCTATTGTCTGTAACTTAATATATACGAGGGATGTCCAGAAAGTAAGTACCGTTTAAAATATTGTAAAAGAAATAATTTTCCCAATCAAAACGATTTATTTTTGAATACCTCTTATATATGACTACTTCTCCACGTAGTCACCCAAACTGCTGAGACATTTGTCGTAGCATGGGACAAGCTTCTGAATGCCCCCATCGAAGAAAGCTGCTGCCTGCGATGTCAGCCAATGTCCAGTCTCTGCTGTGAGATCAGCGTCTGAGTTGAAGTCCTGCCCAGCCAAAAACATTTTCAAATGCAGGAACAGATGAAAGTTACTTGGAGCCAGGTCTGGGCTGTTCGATGGGTGCTTCAACTGTTCCCATCCGAAGGAGGCGATCAGGTTTTGGGTCTGTGCAGACTTGTAGGAGAGTTGCATTGTCGTGAAGCAGAACAACGCCGTCGCTAAGTATTCTGCATCTTTGTTTTTAATCGCTGTATGCAGTTTTTTTAATGTGTTTCAGTACACATCGGAGTTAATTATCATCCCATTTCCCAGAAATTCTACTAAAAGAACTCCTTTCCTGTCTCAAAGCACTGTACACATGACTTTTTTTCCTGGCGCGGCCTGCTTGAACTTTTTTGGCTGCATCGACTGCTGCTTTGACTTGCGCAACCAGGTTTCATAACCCGTCACAGTATGAGTAAGAAATTCATCTCCTTGGTCCTTGTAACATGTCAGGAATGTTAATGCGCTGGGAGCCCGTTGATCCTTTTGCTCTTGTGTCAGCTGCTTGGGTACCCAGCTTGAGCACACCTTTCGATAACTCAAACGGTCAGTTACGATTTCATGCAGAAGCGACTTTGAAATCTCAGGAAAGTTTGAAGAGAATGAGGAAAGGGTAAAACGACTGTCTTCCTTTTCCTTAATGTCTACTTTGTTGATCAATTTCACCATCAGCATAATTTTTCAATCTTGAAAGACATGTTAAAGCTTCAAATGGGTGTAGGATGTTTGATACAAAATGTGGCTATGTAAACTGGCAGGGAAAAAACTGGGTGAGATGTTTTACAAGGGTTGTAGATTGTTGTTTACAGCGGCAAGATGGAGGCTGAGGGCTCTTTCCGGTTCAGTATTGAACACATCAACTCACTGTGGTGCAAATTCGGGAATATATCCTAACCCAGCTGAGAAACTTTTCGGTGATCTTAGTGAAACAAAGAATTGGGGAGCCCACGTGTGCCAACAATGAAGGCCGGAGCGAATGAGTGGGGAGGGTGTGGCATGCGCAGACAAGCAGAACGCATCGCGGGATAGGCCAGCCTATCTCCTTCTTCACTTTCTCTGTATTGTTTGTAGCTGTATATCCATCGTACTTTTTCCCTGCAGTAAATGACCATTATTGTGAAAACGGTTTTTGCTTTCTGGACGTCCCTCGTACATTGTGGCGTTGGTGGCCTAGTGGTTAGGCTCTCGGACTCGCAACCGTAAGGTCGTGGGTTCGAATCCCGTCAGGGACCCGACGTTGTGTCCTTGGGAAAGGCACTTTACACGAATTTTCCTCACTTCACCCAGGTGGGAATGGGTACCCGGCTATAGACAGCGAAAGATCTTGTCAGTTTGTTAGTGTTTGAGCGCTTAATCAGCTGCTTGCACTGTATGCTTCCCGGGAAGCTGAGAATGTTTCGGAATGTTCTATGGTCTGCTGGGGTAATAATATAGTGTAAAGCGCATAGAGCCTGCTGTTGAGCGGGGAATATGCGCTATACAAATGCTATTTATTATTATTATTATTTATTTTATATAAATACATGTTTACAGTCCAAACTGTCTGACACGGCCACCCATTATTTAAGAGGATAGTCATAATATGTTTTTAAAGTAAGAGGGGAGGTTGGAAGTGGTTGTTTGTACAGGTGATTGTCTTGGACAGGTGATTGTCTTGGACAGGTGGCTGCTAGAACAGGTACGACTGATTTTTCGTATTATGTGAGCTAAACTTTTTTCAGATATTTTTTTCCCTTTATGGTTAAGTGAAATCTGTGATATTTTCTTGTGCATAGTTCTTTGACTTTGATTCTTCATTTATTAGAAGAAATAAAGGAATTGTGTAAACGCTAGTGCACAAAAATTCAATGTAACGTTTTTGTCATTCTTTCTCTTTATTGATGGCATCGATGGTGCAGTGCACAATAGGCCGTGAGTGGTTGTAGTTGAAACACCTCTAATCTTTGGCACTTATATGACCTTATTGTGGTGCAAGTGCCATAAAACGCTTATCACTAAAACTAAAATAAACACTATGCCATCTCTTAGGGAAGCTTATTTGACAAAAGAGGAGTGCCTTTGAAAATGGCACAGGCTGCCTGTCTGACAAGGGATGATTATACGTTCTATGTAGATAAAATGGTCATGTACCTTAGTCAAGTCATTTACACAGTGAGATAAAGACCTAACTGCAAGTTATTTACCACCCTGGGCTTTAGCAAGGGTACGAGAAGATGAAAAGCTGAGTCTAGTAGCTGTCCTTTGTCCATGCTGAACTGGGTGTGATGAAATAATAATATGCTGGAGGGACAAGGAAACATTTTTAAGTACACCACAAATAACACTCCGTTTTCCCTGAAATAAACAAATGGATTTGTCCACATGGCATGGTTGGGTTTTTTAATTTTCTACAAAGAGCTGTTGCTTGTTGCACTTGAACTTTTCTGCTGTCAGCCCAGCAGGCTTTGAGAGAACATGCCAGTTAGTGTGGCCTTTTCTGGGCTCCTTCTGTCTCTATCTTTATTTACTATAATATCTGGATACTTATAAAATCGTGTTAACTCCAGGCTCTCACAGAACATGTGTGTGTGTGCCTGAACAAAGGTCTCAATTGTCGGAAAATTTGGATATTAAAATAAGGGTGTATTCTTGTAGCTAATTTAATGCTGTACACGTTGGGTTTTTTTTTTTCAGATATCTGGAGTAATTTTAAAGATACGCCACATTTTGTAACACGGGGTGTAAGAACAAAGTTTGGAGAAAAACGGCTTTAACTTAAGTATGTTGACCCAATTCAACTTAATGTGAAGTACATTGTACCACATGTTGCAAAAATAATTGTAAAAAAAATTGTTTTGACTTTGAATTCTAAAATCCTTTCATATGTTATTTACACTTTGCAGTCACACAGCTAGCAGTACAAAATATCTCATCTGGTCACTCAGCCAGGAGAGTGACTGCAACCGACTTCTTCGGGCCTGGCGCAGAACTGCTCCAGGTGACCAAAACGCATAATTTTCACCGATGCATTATTGCGGCAAGTGACCACAAAGTTTTTTCTGATGGTTTTGACCAAGTATGACCCTTTTTTTTAGCCTTTTCACCCTGGTGCTCAAAAATAGGCTGACAACTGAGACCTTCCTCCAGGCACACACGCAAATTAACCCCTCAGACCGGGGTGAACCCTACCATTTGAATTTCTCTCGTAAGAAAAGCACACTTAAATTAAGAGTGGATGTCCATTGATCAAATAAACCCTATCTTCATAATTAAATTGGACTGGTATGTAAATGTAATGGCATAGGTTTAAAACCCATATCAACACTATTATGTTATTTAGAAGGCAGGACCTCTGAGTTTAACGTCCATCTCCAAAAGGGTCAATAGGAAATTCACATAAAGTGTCTTTCCCAAGGACACGTCGGACTGATCAATCTGAAAGCCCCGAACCCGCAATCTCACGATTACAGGTCCGGTAGCCTAACCACAAGACTACCAACGCTACAAATTAGATTGAATCAGATCAATTAAAGGCAGAAACAAAAGAGAACAAGAAAAGTAGGACCCACCAATGGTGCATTCCAACCATCTGCATCAATACTTAATTTTCAACAGATACAAACAAACTCTGCGATGACAATATGCTTTTATTACGTTTACTCTTGCTACTTGAGAAAGGACAAAATAAACACTGAATTGCAAGAAGAAAGTAACATTGCTCAAACATGATATTAATAAATATATGTGACTGTTTTGTGGCAAAAAATAAAGTTCTACTAAATGCTTTTAAAAACAAGAGATCATTGTGTATATTGTGCAAAGTTGTTCTAATGTTTAAGTAAGTGAAGAGCAGTTGTTTTTTTAAATATCAGAATTGGTGGATGGAGAGATTATGTAAAAATAAAACAAGAAAAAGATTGTTGATGGGTTGTAAGGTTACAGTCTACACAGACTGTTCTCCGTCTGTCCTTTGTGGTACCTACGCACAAATCAGAACATCAATATAATATATATATATAGCAAATTCTACCGAGTCTCAAACTGCTCTTCCCTTACAAACTGTCAATACTAGAAGGCTTTAAAAATATTGTCATCAAAAAAACAAACAAAACTTCAAGCTACGCATGGAAGAAAAACTTCTAACAAAAATGTTTGGGGAAAAAGGTAACTTTACAAAATGTGGAAGTCTCCAAAATGTTTCCCTGTAAAAAGTAATTAAACTACAGAGAAGGAAGGATCAACAGTTTCACTTCCTGAAGTAAAAGTCATCAGTGACTCTCGTTTCTTACAGGATGTTGGGGAAAACAATTTTTAGTTGATTTAGACAAATTTACATCATAAAAACAAATCAGAACAATGTATTTATAAAAACTGAAGATCAACCAAATTACTGACATCAAATGTGTGTCAGTGTCAGTCACAGACAGGTATTTGTTTGACCTTGTATGTTGAACAAAGAAGCAGATCTTTAACGGTAGTTGCGTAGTTACCAGTGGCGATGGGTAGGCTGAAGGGTTCTCAAAAAGCCATAGCTCACCATGACTACAGAGAAATCAGTACTGTTTAGGTCTTATTGCTTGCTATTTGGTGGTAAAGAAGTGGAAGCAACCGAAGCCCCACCCACATTTTGGTCCACCCACCGCCACTGATAAAAGAGATCTGTAGCAGCTACAGACGTGAGGTCACTGACCTTATTTCTCATCTCGCGTCGCTGACAGCCGTGTGTCTTTGCTACACAACTAACCAGCTCACGTGGAGGAGGAAATTATTAACACATAGTCCCTTACTGGCCACCCCAAAACTTTAAAGCAAAACTGCAAAAAGTAAAACTAAGTTTATGGGTTCAACGCGCTTAAACAAACTTCTAGAGGCAAGATTGTCTCAGATGCCAAAATTGACCCAATTTAGGAAATAAAACAAAAAACTGATTAAATTACATACTACATTGAAAGATACACATTTTAACAATTCAGCTATCATCAAAAAAACAGAGAAGAAGAATACAGTATTAACTCTTTATCTCCGGCAAGCCGCTCCATGACAACTTCGACATTATTACTTTTCGGCAATTGCCGGAAACAGGTCTCTTTTACCCTGAGTTCATTCATTGGAAAGATATGAAAATAGGTTCCTGTTTAAATTTTATTTTAATGATGGTTTTGTCATTTTTAGATTTAATTTTTTAAAAGGGACCCAGAGTAGTGGGTTTACCCCCCTCAGAGATAAAGAGTTAAAAAGAGCAGTAACATTACAGATTACAAAAGGCCAAAACTTTCAAGTAGAATTTTCTAAAAACTATTGTCGTACCAGTTTCACTTAAGACCGCACTGTTTCAGTGTTGTTACTTGTATTTGTAAGGCGCTCCCAGCCTGCAACAATAAAACTAGAGTCTAGGCCCAAAAAGCTGAATAAAATGAGCACTTCTTTAATAACGTCAGTATCTATGACATTTTCGTACACTGATACATCATGCATAAAATTTGACTTTGACTTTTGTACATGCATAAATGCTGAATAGATTTAACCAAAGTATACACTTATTGTTCCAGAATGAAAATTTAAAAAAAAACCAACATATATCTTGAATTTCAAGTGGTCCAGTATATTACAAGCAGTGTCTCTCAAGCATATAATTGTGGTAATAAAAGTGTACTGTACAAAAAACAAACGAAACTAAATTATTTCACTGGTTTATAAAAGTACAGATAAACTAATTTATTACTTTTGCATTTACACATAAGTTAAGAAAGGTATTCTTATACAATATGCCCAGCCGACTCAGAACTTTCATCAAGTTTATCTGTAAGCACAATCCTTATCTTCAAAAGGGCCAAAGGTTACTGTTCTCTTTAAATACATGTAGCCTACGTCAGGGACACTATTCTTTGCATAAAAAGTAGCCTACAGCAGTTTCTGTCATGGAAATACCACAATAGGTTGAGAAGTTGAGAATTCTCCAAAGAAAGTTACTGATATAAAAGTTAGTGCAGAACTAGTGTGAATATATGTATGTACATAATTTGTGATTGTGATTCGCTGTGAAGAGTAGTCCTGATCTCCAAGAACCTCAAACAAGTCGTAAAAACATAATTCTTCCTCCAGGGTTTGGTTCATATTTTGTTCATTGGAACATCACAGGTTCACAAAGGTAACCCTTTGAACAAATGGCTATATAAAGTCTCATAAATTAAATGTAACAATAAATGATCATAAAATTCTTACCGAAAAAAAAGAAAACAGAACAGTACAAGAAAAACACAATTTTATTTTAAATGTAGGTGCTTTTACACCCACATTGACACGGTTTAGATCATTTAGGGGGCAGGCTTCAACATTGCCTGTCAAAGCCAACCTGGGCTAAGAGAGATAAAAAATTTCAGCAGAAAGACTGAGACACTTGGACAAAATTTCTCCCCGCTTGGGAACTGAACACGAGTCGCTTGTGTGCGATGGCGAAGCACCTTACCATTACACTGTGGACACAGGTAACAGGAAAGGGACACCAATAGTCAAAAATTGAATTTAACTCTTTATCTCCGGCAAGCCGCTCCCAACAGCTCGTTGTCGGAACACCTGTGCCGGTGCGCCGCTGACAGCGGCTCGGGCACATTCCTGTACGACGACTCGACATCAAATTATGGTTCGGCAATTGCCGAAAACAAGCCTCTTTTAACGGGAGTTCATTCATTAGATGAAAAACTATCAAAATAGGCCGACTTGTTTTAAATTAATGACCTATTTAGTGACGTTTTTGTCATTAATTTTAGAATTAGTACCAAAACAGGGCCCCGGAGTAGTGGGTTCACCCCCCACGGAGATAAAGAGTTAAAGAAGTTTTGTTAATATTCGTTTGTTTGTCTATTTGTTTGAGGAAAGAGATGATCATCTACTGAATAAAAGCTTTGTAGTACAAGGGGGGAAAGCAAGATAGACACTCAGAAACAACAGGTGGAAAGAAAATAAGTAGGACCTACTAGTGGCACCCTCCACCCACCTACTCAGCAATGAAGAAGAGAGGTGCTAAAACATTATGAAACAAAATCACAAAATGCAGGGAAGGAAGACTGTCATTGAACGGAAAACCAAATCAACATGGCAGTTATATTCATAGTTCTGAGAGTTGCGATTTTATCTCAGAGAGAACCAGGTTAAACGTGTCACAACGCGGTGGTCAGGCGCTCATCATTTTTTGAGCATTTGGAGTAATTAATATCGTCTTAAAGCTTGTTCATTTATCTTGCTTTTTACAAAATAAAATTCCCATCTATCTTGAGCTGAAGTGAAGATATTATTTGTGATTGAAAGAGATAAGTTCACTTTTTTTCAGCCGTAAAAATAGCGAGAAGATGGCCGCCAAAATTTGGTAACTTTATCAGCTAAAGAGTCCTTGAAAATTGAAAATTACATATTTTGAGCTTTTAATCAACGTTTTTCAATATAATTCACACGAAAATGTGCTTTTACTTTTATTAGGACATAAAAGGGTTGAACAAAAAAACCCAAAAATTTGATTAAAATTTCGAAACTGGCAGGAAAATGCCTGTTTCTCCAATTTTGTTATTTTGACCAGCACCTGATTTCACCACGATGCCTCACAAATGTAACCAAAGTTCTACGATACAAATATTTTTTTAATGAACAGGAAAGACTGGACATAAATGGACAGGAAAAAAGGGGAGCAAAAGAATAAAACCGTCTTTGTACATGCATCCTTACGGTAAAGTGAAGACATACTAAATCAACAAAAAGCAGCAACTAAAAGTTATCACGACAGAGAGTAAAAAAAAGTAACAATAAAGAAACGGAAACCACATTTCTGTTTATCCAAATTGTGAGCTTATATTCACTACCCAAAATCTAAGTATGATGATCATCTATAAGATCAAAAGTGCTCTAAGAAGTAATCGAAAAGAAAAAAGGAAAGAACAGAAGAAGACTCATCATAGATCTTCATAAATCAAAATATTATTATCTGTTCTTCAAAATGACTGCACTCGTTGCTTGCCCAAAATCAACATTCAATACACCCCCCCCCCCCCACACTGCCCCCCATCCCCTGCCCCACCCCCCACCACCCCGCCCCGAAAACAAAATATAAAAAATTTAACCATAAAATTATGATTACTTGTTCATCAAAATGAAAACAATGTCACAGGACCAAATTAATGTGAGAAGAAAATAAATATTTAAAAATAAGACAAGCTTTGTTAAGCGAGACTCACTGGCCGTCATCGATCTAACGTAGTTGTTTTTACACCCACATTAACACAATTTAGCCTCCACTGATCTGAGCTTGCAGAGCCACCAGTGACTCGATCTTGACCTTGAGGTTGTCCTTCAAAGCCTTCAGTCTGTCAATCTCGGCACGCTGGACACTCCTGGCCGTCCGTAGGTCGTCGATAGTGAGCCGAAGGTTGTCGATGGATGTGCTCGACTGCGCTGAGCGAACTTCCTGTATCAGCTGCTGAACCGTCGCCGAATCAACCCCCGTCATTGATCTCAGGCGACTCAAAAGTTGACCCGCCTTCTGAGATGTGACCGCAGTCTTACTCAAGGCCAGTGAGATTGCGTCCGACGTGGCCAACTGCTGATCGGAAAACCCGTTGAGGGAAGCTTGGATCTGCTGTCTCTGCTCGGCTGCGGGAGCAACTATGTTGTCTTGCGTGTTGTCCAAGATGGTGTAGCGTTCCTGGCTGCGGTCCGGCAAGTCCTTCAGCCGCGTTTGCAGCTGCTCCGACTGGACCAAAACTCCGAGAAGTTGCTGCAGAAAGTAGATGAGATGAGATGAGATGAGATGGAATAAAATGATACTTTATGGTGCCAGTGGAAAATTTTCTTGGCTGTACGGGAATGATAAAAACATATATATGAAGGTTCACATAGAATATATAAGCAAAGGAAAAGAAAGATATCATTCTTCAAGACTGTTTTCTTTTCTTTTTTTTTACCCACTGTCCCCCTTTTGGCTGCTTTGAAAAAGGTGAAATGGTATTGGTTTATCACCACCCCTGCAATCAGTATTATGTTATTTAAGAGGTCGGGGGGACATCCGAGTTTGAGTCAAACATCCATCTCCGAAAAGACGGAGTCAAGTGGGAAATTCATGAAAAGTGCCTTTCACAAGGACACGTAGACCGAGCTGAGGCTTGAACCCACAAACCCTCTCAAGCTTATGAGTCCGGTCGGTAGCCTAACCACTAGGCTACTAATGCCACCTTTGGGTGCTTTGTTAGTGATCTTTTTCTTATCAGACGATCATTGACTATGAGAATGTAAGCAAGTACTAGTTGCCGACTACGAATATTTCAGCACTAAGATGGAACAATTAGAGACTATATATATATATATATATATATATATATGAATAAATGATAAGATCTTTTTGCAGGTATTTGATTTTAATTTTTTTTTTGTTAGCTTTTGTTGCTTACTCTAGCTCCCCCAGGCTGTCTTTCCCCCACTCTCCTTGCAGAAAAAGATCAGATTTTGAGGCTATAATATAATTTGTGTATCAACAGCCCTTTCAGTTTAATAAAATACAGATCCTTCTTCAGGACTGAAATTTAATATCAGTTGAAGAATTGAAAATGCATTGAGAGAAACTAATTAGGGAAAGAAGATAAAACCCAGTGCACTGTAGGCCTATCATGTAATTTTAAAAAAGTTTTAGTAAGAATTTTACACCACTGGCAACACAAATAGGCTGCATATGGGCCAAAGAATAGAGGTGATACCTGAGAGTTTACCATACCAAGAAAAGGAGGAGAGATAAAGGTGATATAGTCTAATATATAGATGATATCATTGATGTTGCAAATATTCTACTCAAGTCTGTCTGGATACTTTTTACACCAGAGAGTGAGCCAAAAATCAAGTTCTTGTTGCAGTGTTTTTTTCAGAAATCATGAAAAACAAGAAAATTGTAAGCCTGCATTTAGGAATGTTGAAAGGTGCAACTCTTTATAGAGCTTTGGGAGAGTGTAAAAATTTTAAAATTATCAAACTTTGGACTTAAGTGGATTGTTTCGAACAGCGACGATAAACTATGTTAAACACTTTGCCGTCACATCTCGCCGATTGGCAAGAATGCTGAACTTCCACTCCCGTCACAAAACGCCAATCGGCGATGTTTACCACCCAGTTTCTTTGGATTTTCCCCAAAATGCTCATGATGACAATGGCTTTTGCTGTGGTCCTTGTAATGGCAAAGTGTTAATCAAAGAAGGAGCAAGCCATGCCAAAACACTTGCCAACAACCTACGAGTGCCCTTGGGACTGTCTGCTGGCATTTCTCCTACTGAACTCGTTGGGTAAAATCTTTAGAAAGAAAAAAGCAGTTTGCGATAAGGGTTTCATTCAACAAATAGAGCACAGTTGGATGAGAGTAACATTGAAAAGAAAACCAGACACCAGGTGTGTCTGCTTAACCCCTTCAATGCCGCAGGTAAATAGGCCCCTGTGCTGGGGAAGATCCTGTGAACCAAGGCTGCTTAGGGGTGACCCCACTCTACCTCCCATAACTTTTTAATATAAATATTTCCTAGTGAATTTCTGCATGTGTACATTCTACATTGAACCGCATTTCTATTGATATGGTTTTGGGGGGATTTAATAGAGAGATACATGGAGAAAAGTTGGAGTTACTAACACAATACCAAAAACACCACCACAAAACAACATAAACAACACACTTTCAAGCAATGATAAACTGAGATTTTTAAAAAAGGGGGAATACATGTTGTATGAGTGTTATTTGCAGGTAAAGAAAAAGTAACAAGAGGCTTTTTCTACCTTTTTATACAATGCTCATACAGTATGCCCATCTGTGTTTACTGCCGGTAAATCATTTTTGTGCGGTAGATGTGTATACCTAGATCTAGATCTAATCTTCTCTTCGAGCTAAAATCTGAATCTGACGCTTTCAAATGGGGGGGGGGAATGGAGGCAAACATAAAGGGAAGGTACTTCAAAAATAATTACAAGATTATAGCCGTAACTTCCCTTATAATTGGTATCAAAACAACCTCTGTCACAGTCCCGTAAATTCTACGGGTCATAGGCACAGCGCTACACAGTTCAGGCCCATAAATTCTATGGGGGCGGCAGCGAAGAGGTTAAATCAGACATGGCTAATCCAAAAACAGGGGCTTTTGGTTTCAGCAGACTTCACTGTAGGATAATTCGACTGATCTCGTCTGCAATCCTTCGCCCCCTCAACTAACATGGGGGAGGGGGGGAGGGGGAGGAAGCCGTTGTTTTAGAGCAGACTCGCTATAACCCACATCTACACTCTGCCTCACCTGCTGTTTCTCCTTGGACACTTGAACAGCTTGCTGCGCAGCGTCTTTAGCTGCCGAGGCCAGCTGTCGCAGCAGAGCGATGGTGTTGGACAGCTCTCGGGACTCATTGATCTGTCGTTTGCTCGTGTCGTGCACCGATGACACACGCTCCAGAGAGGCATTGGCTTGTGTCTGTGCCTCTGAGCAAGAGAATAAATAGTTTTTACAGTAAGAATCTTTGAGAGGCAGCGTGGTGAAATCAGGCGCTTGTCAAAATAATGAAAGTAAAGAAACTTGCAGTTTTCTGCTGGTTCCGCCTTTTATCGAAATTTTGTCTTCTAGCTCACTTTTTATGTTCATTTAAGAACCCATTTCAGTGTGAATTTGACCGAAAAATGTTGATTAACGGAACAAAAAATGATAATTGTCAGTTTCCATGGGCTCCTGGGCTATCATGTAAATAACCAGATTTTGATGGCTATTTTCTCGCTAGTTTTACCTCTGAAACCAGGTGACTCTCACCTCTTTCAATAGCAAATATCTCGACTTGTATTCAAGATAAATGGATATTTCTTTCATCAAAAGCAAGGCAAATGGACAAGCTTTAAGGCGATACCAAAAACTCTACATGCCCAAAAATTGATGAGAGCCTGATTACACCGCGTCATGACACCTTTACTCTTTAAGGAAAGGCTTTCTGGTCATTTGACGTTTGTTTTGGAGTACCAGTGCAGTAAAACAAAAGCAAGTAGGCCTATAACTTGGTTATTCATACAGCTTTTTCAACGTTATTTTAATCTGAAACATACAAGTAGGCAACACTGTGCATACTACGAAATATGAAAACTTTTTACCTGTTTTTAACAAGTGTGGAAGGGATATTTTTTATGATAGGAATTTTTAACACTTTGAATTTTGCCAGAGTGGCAGTCCAGCGACCTACTCCAGGATTTTCTACCAGTTCACATACATAAAACATCTTAAACAGATTTCAGTTGTATCTCAAACTCAGGGTCACTCTGCTCACCTCTCTCACCTCAACAACATAAAGCCTGCTGCGACTATCAAGGCACCCCGGAAATAGCAGTTCACAAGAGAGTGACAAATATATGCAAAAGAAGTAGAGGAAAAATGACAATAGTAAGGAAGAGGAAAGAAAAAGCAGCAGTTCCCCTCATGTTGTTCCGGCACAGTATGAGCATGACATTGATAAATCAGCTCATTTACAATTCTACTGTGCATGAGAATATAATGTTAATTATCCCCCGTTGGGGAATGGCCTAAAGACACTTCAGTCAGCTGTAGCACTGCCCCGGTGAGGACCCCTCCACACTTACCCAGGGACAGAGCCGCAAAATTGTTCAAGGTGTTGAGTGTGTTCTGCGCATCAGCAAACAATTTGTCTGCCTCCACTTGGAAGCGCAGTGTCTTCTGCTCTGCGGCACTCGATCTTCTCGACCAATCACCAGCTGCCAAAGCCACGTCCATAGTCTGATTAGTTTTCTCCTCCATAACTGCGACAGTTTCCAATGCTTTTAGGTTTGTCGGTGAGAACAGTGAAGACCCTGCGTTTACCTGAACATAATAATAATAACGATAATATTTAATAATAAAAATAAAAATAATTTTTAAAAATAATAGTGTTAATTTTTTTAAATTGTTAAAAAAATAAAAATTTTAAAAATTAAAAAAAAACAAGAAATACTTTTAAAAAATAAATAATAATAATATTAACACTATTTTTAAAAAATATAATAGATCACATTTTCATGAATATAGCGCTCTATCCCATAAATATGAGTATAAGCTCTGAGCGTTTTACATTAATTGCATGATTATTGAGTGTAACACTTCATTCAGACAAGATAAAACATTTCACAGTAACAAGAAAACCAGTTTAACATCATAAAGAAGAATTCTCTGAATCATACATTAATCATATCATGTAAGGACAGCAGTTAAAACAAATCAGTACCTACTAACACAATACAAATAAGAAACAAATATGCCTTGAGCAATGGAAAGCGTACCTGGGCTCTGTAGGAGTCAGAGAGACCCCGTGCAGCGTTTGCCCTGTTCAGAAAAGAATTCTCGTCCACAACAAAGCTCGTTAACTCTGCCAATTGAGCCTGCAGACGGACTACAGTGGCCTTCAGCGTTTGGTCCGATGTTGCTAGGCTACGTGCCCCCAACAGTGTCTTGGCTGCCTTGGTAACCACGTTGATGACTGTGCTTTCCAGGGTCAGAAGAGTAGATGTGGTGTTCTGGTAAACCCTATTCAAGGACTGGGCTTTCTGTAATAATAATGATAATAAAAATAATAATGATAATAATAATAACAATAATAATGATAACAATAATAATGATGATGATGATGATGATAACAATAATCTTATTTGTTATAATAAAAATAATAATAATAAAATGTAAGGCATCAGGGTGAAATCAGGCCCTCGTCAAAATAGTAAAATTGAATAAAAAGTCATGTTCCACAATTTTGGCAATTTATATCGAAATTTTGTTTTTTTGGCTCAACATCTTTTATATTCATATATATTAAAGCACATTTCCAAGTGAATTCAACCGAAAAACTTGTTTAAAGGTACAAAATCAAAAATTTTCAATTTTCATGGACTCTTTTAATTAAGCTATTGAGTTACCAAACTTTGGCGGCCATTTTCTCATTAATTTAACCACTGAAACCAGATTACCCCACCATCTTCAATCTCGACTCCTATTCGAAATAAAAGGATATTTTTTTCATCAAAAACAAGGCAAATGAACAGCCTTTAAGATAATACCAGTATCTCATTATGCCCAAAAACTGACGAGCACCTTATTCCACTGCATCGTGACACAAATAGTAATAGTAATAATAGCATTAGCATAGAACAAATTTCCACTCAACAGCAAGCTCTATGCGCTAAACAATCTATAGCCTATTATTACCCATGCAGATCTGACAGCATTCTGCAACAATCTCAACCTCTCAACCTCCCAGCAAGCACATAGTGCAATTTACCCTTTTACAAGAGCTAAAACACTAACATGGCGCTCATATGACTTTATGCAGCTGCGAGTGCCGTAAAACCTTACTAAAATATAAAACACTAATATACTGACAAGATCTTTCACCATCTGTGGCTGGATACCCATTCAAACATGGGTGAAAAAAATAAAATCTTACCCACCAACACACACACACACACACACACACACAGACACCC